ATGAGACGAAGGCAAAAATATTCTTGGCTTTGGATATCTCTTTGAGAAAGAAGTGGTTACTTAGAAAGCTTCGTCGGTAAAAGCCACATTAGTCTACTGTATATAGCTTACATATGGTGGTTTTTGCTTTTAACTTTCTTTTACAAGTTTCATTCTTTTCCATGTCCATATTTTCCTATCCATTTCTAGCAGAATCTTAGAAACCATCTGCAGTGTAGTGTGACTATGTACAGTGCAACATTAATCTCTCAAGCCATATACAAAATTACCAACATAGAAAATTTTCTTCTTCAAGGATCTAAGTGAACAGCTATTCTGGAAGTGGCAAAATTCATCTAATTGTAATCATAAGAGTAGACGTGATGAAAAAAATCGAAAACCTAAGTAACATGAATAACAATGATTGTGTCGGAAAACAAAAAAATTAATTAGTTGGTTGAAGAAGTGGTACCGTGTTAATGTTGGTTTGTTATGGAAACCAAGAGGTTGCAACAAGTGAGAAAGGAGTAACTGGAGTATCATACTCCACTACTTCCACGTCTCCATCGCTGTTACTTCTTCTTAATTATTTCTCTAATTATTTAACAACTAAATCTTTTTTTAATTAAATTTTAAATTTTTTAACTCGTTGAAACTTAAAATTAATTGGATTATTTTAAAAAAATTGATTGGCATGATTTCCAATAAAAGAAAAATAATTTATTTTTAATGAAATTCGTTCAAATCTTATTATTATATTATAAAGAAAGGAACTATGTTGAAAACTTTCTCCTAACTAATGTTATTTTTGTAAACATACATCAAATCATAAATTATAAATGCTCCAAAATCCTTAGAAGTATACATTTTCCCCATTTAAAAAAAACATTTTCTGTATAAATGTATAAATAAAGTATATATAATAAAAAAAGAATATTGTAGACGTAGTGGGATACCACACAGTATCGTACACCAAATATTAGGTGATACGTATTTTATACACAGCATCTTTTATTGAAAACAAAAGGGTTGAGCATGACCTGAAAGATTTTTTTAAAGATTTTCTCCATTAATCAATTCCAGTTCTTCAGTACTTGAGATTTGATTCAATGTATAAATAATTGTTTGATCTTCTAAATGGAACTTGCAACTTGCAATGGAATATGAACACTTTTAACCTTTTTTATTATTATCATTATTATTAATGTTGAGTTATTACTATAAGAGAAAGAATATCCTGGTTCAAATTACAAGGTAGATCTTATACCTTTTTCACATAAATTGTTTATGTTCAAAAACCCTAGCTTTCTAACAATAGAAGTAAATTGATGTTTATTCATTAAAAAAAAAAACTAGGGTTTGGACACCCTTGTTAAGGTAAATTGTTTAGTATCTATTTGTCTTCCAGTGGCGTGAACTTGCCCATACAATCAAAACTGTTTAGGGAAAAAGTTGAAGATTCCCAATAAAGTCATGCTACAAATTAATTAATACTTATAATCATTATTACTTTATGACTTAATTGTATTTTTAAATTTATTTCATTCAAACTACATGTGGTAATATGTTTTATGTAAAATTCTTAATATATTAAATATAATTATAAAAAAATTATCTAAAATTTAAACATCTTAGTAGTTCAACTAAAACAATTTATAAAACAAATTACGCTAAATTAAATTAAGTTGACAAAAATGTAAGTTCGTCAGTGTTTATGTGTGTTCACTATTTGTCATTGAAATCTCAGAAACAGAACAAACAGTGTAACAAGTGATTTTAGTATAATTTTCGTGATTAACAAGGTGATGCCTTAAAATAAAAACAATAAAAATAATAATATGGTATGACCTAAAATGACCTAAAAATTAAACTTAAACACATAAATGATTAATTATCAGTTTTACTACAACTATTTTGATTTTGTAAAAGATACCTATAATTTTCATTTGGTTATATTTTTTATTAAAAAAATATAAATATTTTTCTCCTAATAATTTCGATTTAAATAACTTTCATTAAAGATCAACAATTCCTTAAATTTTTCCTTTTGTTTATAATTCAGTTTTTACGTCGTATAATCAATAAAATTTTAAGAATAAGGAAAATTTTTAAAAATGATTTTTTTTCCAGCAAAAATAAAGTTTAATCGGTAAGATGATACATATATTATATATTATATATTATTATTATTATTATTATTATTATTATTATATACAAGTTATTCCATACAGAATCTTTAACATTGTATAATTTTCACAAATTAATATATTTATTCGATATAAAAATAATTTAATAATTTAATTTTGCAGCAATCAATTAAAATATCATCAATACGATTTAAAAAATAATTATAATAAAACTTTGTTTTATATATAATGCTTTATAACATTGAAAAAAAACGATTAAAAATTGTTTTCAGTTATTTTTTATTGTAAAGATCTTATTTATATAATAATAAATTAAAAAATTGTAACAAAAAGGAAAAAGATTAATGAATTATTAAAAATTAATGTATATTTAACTCGAATCTAATAGAATAATATTTATAAAAATTGAAATAAATTTACTACTTTAGGTTTCTATTTACGCAAGATCAATTAAAATAAGATAAAAAAAGTGAAGATTAATTAAAAATAAATAAAGTTTAGAGTGTTTGTTTATAAAATGGATACAGTTTAAGGGGTTTGAATAGTTTTTATCCCCTGACTAATGATATTCATACATGTTTAAAAAAAATTAATGATAAATAGTTATTTTTAAAACTTATCGAAGATTTCAATTTTTTATTAAAAAAATAATTTTAAGAACTAATATGGCAAAACCATAAGGAATGACGTCATATTTGAATTTTTTATTGAAAAATTTGATTACTTAAATATATTATTTAGAAAAGATCAGATCGAATCGAAAGGCTGGAGTCAAATCCGGGCCATGGATTTGCTTCAACGCTCTGATTCTAAGCATCGTTCAAAAGCAAAACGTATCAATTTTTTTTTTTATTATTTGATAATTTATTTATTTTCCAATTTGTGTATAATAGTTGAAACAATGAGGAAGAAGAAGAAAGGGATAAGAACAAAACAAAAACCAAGAGAGAGAAGAATGAAAATGGCATTAGTCTTTGAACAGTCGTTCTGAATTCTTCACACTCTCTTCCCAATTCCTATTCTCTCATCAATCTTCTTCACTTCCCACTCAGGTACCTATTTTTGTTCCTCTCATTTTCTTTTTCCTTCTCTCTTAAAAATGAAGTTTTTTTTTTTTTTTTTTTTTCTATTCAATGATGTTTCTTCCTTTTTCTCTCTTGCCCCCAAACTGTTAACTGATCATTTCCAACCAGAACTTGCCATCTACTCTCGCATTTTACCGTTTTCAATCTTGAATTCATGATTGTTTTATAGATTCTTAAAACTCGTCGTTTTGTTCAGAAATTCCTTTGCTGAATGAAGATTTAAATACGCCAATTTCTTCTTTAAGTTATCACTCATCCTTCACTCAATGTTTGAATCTATAAATCTTATTCTCTTTTTTCATTTTTTGTTTTTTCCTGTGTTTACGTTTTACTATGTTTAGTTGTCGGCTAGCCCTCCCTGAAGAGTCAAAACTGGGACTTTTTTTTGTCGTCCAATTTCTCAGAAGTCATGCTTCTCTAATCGAACTTTCATGAAACGTGTCAAGTTTTATATTTGATTTATTTTACTGCAAACAGTTAGTTCTTTCGTATAGTTGAACAATGGAATTTCTGGACAATGCTTGAGTGAAAAAGCGCTCAGCAGCATCTATATATTTACAATAATTTCAGATTAAATTACATTTAAGAGAAGTAATCAGAAATGTCACTTCCTGGAACAATAATAATAAGCCACTAATCTTGAATCTGACTATTCAGCTGTTTTAGACATTAATTCCCTAGGAATTGAAACAATTTCCAATACAAATACGTTACTTGTCTTTCATTACTCCTGTATGGATGCTAGTTTTCTTGTGAGTGAAGGAAGCAAAAGTAGAAGCTTAGATGGCTTTTTGGTGGCTGGAGTCTTCTCTCTAATTTCAGACTTGAAAAATATTTCCTCATTGAATATCTTTTTCCAAACCTTTACTGGAATGCAGCATTACCGAAGTTCTTCTTTGCATTTCTCTCCATTCCTTTGTCTTTTCTATCTTGAACATTTTTTCTAAACTTGTCACAGATATGTTACTTTAGTTATATAATCTGTGGGACTATTGTGAAATCAATATATTAATAACTAGAACAGACCAGCGAGAAGCTTGTTCAAGTTCAACCAACTAGACCATGAACAAGCTTGGTCTCTGGTTGTTATCCCTTCCCATAAAATATGTAATTCTTTATACTGAGGTAATTAAAGGCAGAATATGGTACTGGCAAGAAGTGTCAAAGTATAGTACCCTATAGTGCATACTGCCAAGAGTCCCAAAGTCCAACGACTAGTAATTCTTTTAACATCTTGATTCTTGACTATTTTACCTGGTTTGGCATCACAGTTGGCAAATTAGGTGGCTGATCCTTCAGAGATTAATTAATGTTATCCAGAGGCACATTCCAAGTGGGGCTGGCCCCTTTTAGTGCCTCAGTGTATGTTTTAGACATTGTTTTGGAACCCAAACTTATCACCGGTTTGGCTTTTAAAACATTGGATGCAAGTGTACTATTATCCTTTCCAACACAGTGGTACTTTTATTTTTTTGTGCTTCCATAGCCAGCTACGGCAACATTTTTGTTTTGTGTGTGTTTATTACATGGAATATCCATTTGGTATGAATTCTGTGCATTATATTTGCTTTCTTTCTTAAAAATAGGTAGATTTATTTGTTTTCTTCTTGTATTACTATTCTTTATTTAGATGCAGCATTTGCAGTCATAGGAATATTATGAATGACATACTTATTTCCCCTATCACTTATTTCTTTTGATTCAAGTCTTCTTTTATTTCCCTTCTCTAAGAAATTAAGTTAACATGTGCGTGTGTTTATTTTATTTTATTTTTTAAATTCAGTTAGGAATGGGAATATATCTCAGCACTCCCAAAACTGAAAAGGTTTCCGAAGATGGTGAAAATGACCGTCTTAGATATGGCTTATCATCCATGCAAGGGTGGCGTACAACAATGGAAGATGCCGTGAGTAATCATTGTAAACATTGCTAGTTTTATAAATGAAATGACTTTTGCGTATAAATCCAGATTTTCAAAGTGAATAATGTGGTAAATGGAAATGTCTACTAAGAGTTATCCCGAGTTGACTGGGGTGTTATGCTACTTGGTATCTCTCAATACTTGAACTCTTTTTGAGACGGTAATTTTTGCTGCAGCATCATTTCCCCCCTTTTCCATTAGTATCCAATTTGTTAGAAACTAGTATTACATATGAAATGGCATATATTTGATAAAAAGAGTGCTAGCAATACACTCTCTAACATACACTTTACCATATGTTGAAATTTATTGAAAAGTGCAAAATCATGAGAGTCATTAAATAATATGTATGACCCATAAATTTTTCTAATTTTCAATAAATTAACCAATAAGAGAATAAAAATGCATTGTTGCCCTAAGCATATAGCATGCATTGTCTTGGTTGATCTTGACTCGAGAATGTGGTCATACGGTTGGGACTTTCTCCAGCTACACATTGTTTTCCCTATGCATATATAAGCATTAAAATAGAGTGTATCTAACATTTCTCTTTCAATACTGTTATGGTTTATGGATTCACATTTTACTCTTGAGCTTTTGGCAAATGTTTTGTTGGAGAAGTAAACAAGATAAACTTTCATTCCAAGATTTCATGCTTTGCGGTTAATAGGTTTATCTTGCATTTTGGTGGATGGGAGTTCATTGGGTGACATTTTTAATCATTTTTTATGGTTTCTATACTCTTTCATGGTAGAAACAGATAAATATTATTAGCAAGCTCCAAGAAAGGTGGAAGTCCCAGCATTTATTGAGTCTCATTCTACCAGGGATTGTTTTCAATAGTGTTTGGCAATAAGAGTATATTTGTAAAATACCTGCTTGATCTCATGTAATGCATAATTGATCTTGCCCAATCATTTCTAAAGTAGCAATGATTGATCCAGTGAAATGTGATTTCGGGATGTGAAGACATGGATTCCGCTTTTAAATTTTTTTCCTTTAATTCATTTTATTACTTTTCACTCAGATTGCTTGTTAATATGTTGTTGATTTTTTGTTCTCTTTTCATTTGTTAGCATGCTGCATATACTGATCTGGATGAGTCGACTTCATTTTTTGGTGTCTATGATGGTCATGGAGGTGAGGTTTGAAATGTTCTGCTACTTCTATGGCAGAATGCCGTGTTTACTACTTTATTTCTAATTACAATTACAAATGTTTTTTCACCTTGTTAGAATGCTATTTTACTCCTAAGCCTACCTCCTTTAAGTGTTCAAGAAGGCAGGGAAGAGTAATTTACAATATCTTCTAAAAGATAAGCGAAAGTAAAGAGGAAAAGAAAAAAAGAATTTAAAAGACCTATATAATCTAAGAAAAGCCAAAACAACAAACCCTCCAATCTCTCTGAATATTCCCAAATCAGACACTTATGCAGAAACCAAACCATGGTCGGAATGGTATTTCTCTTTCTTTTTTTTTTCTAGTGAAATTTATTTATATATATTCTGAAGTAGTCATAGAGTTAACCTTTTTTTTGTTGCTTCTAGTTATAGTTGATTTTATTTTTTGAGGCTCGATATAAATTTTAATGTGATTTCTCATATCTTTTGTGAGATGGACATGGATTATAATTTGTGAGATGGATGAAGACCGTAGTGCATTACCATGTTTCATTCAATCCCATTTACACCATTGTAACATGCGTGCCTTTATTCTAGCTTCCCATGATAGAGAACCTCAGAGCACAGGGCTTCAATCTCTTAGACAACTGTATTTTCTGCTGTGGTTCTAAATTGTGTCCATTCTTATGCTCTATTTATTGAATTTTTTTGTGTTCCTGCATATCTTTTCAAACAAATTCTTGTTGCCCCTTTCAAATCATTTTTCATGGTAGAAAAGATCAAGGTCCATTTATGCTTATGCCCCTCCACTACTTCGGTTTTTATTATTGTGTGCCATATATTTGACTTGTGCTACAAATTTCAATAATCTCCATCGGAACAAGTGGAAAATGCTTCATAAATTTTGTCAGTTTGAAATCAATTTTGTTATGGATGCTCATGAATCCCAAAATTTCAGGGAAGGTGGTTGCAAAATTTTGTGCTAAGTTTCTCCACCAACAGGTGCTCAAAAGTGAAGCATACTTAACTGGTGATATAGGAACGTCCCTTCAGAAATCCTTTTTGAGGTTAGATTTAAAAAGATGTCCACTTCTATCGTACTAATTGCAGGACCTGAATTCTGCAATGAAATGACAAGCTGTCTTGCAAGGAGTTGGATTTTTGTACTATTTAAGATGCTCAATTTGGTTCATCAGCTAAGCCCTCAGTTTTGTATTTCTTATTATCTATCTTTTCTTCTCTTTTTTTTCTTTAATACACTAAGAATGTCTCTCTCAAAGTTACTTAGGTATATTTTATGCACTTTTAACAGTTGGATGAGTACGAATAAATTATATATATCTTTTTCAATGACAAGTTGCCTACTTATTAGTTGCTGATTATGGTTTGCATATATTCATTAATTTACTGTGTCCTGTTAAGCTTACATATTATTGAGCAGACATTAAGTACGATCTTACATTACCTCTCTTTCCTGGTCTAATTGAGAAAAGAATAAAGAGTAACTATTGATTACTTATACATCTCTCCCTGTGTCCTAAACCAAAAGTAAACAAGTAAAAAGTTTCAAACTGGTGTTTTCAATATTATGCAGAATGGATGAGATGATGCGTGGTCAAAGGGGATGGAGGGAATTGTCAATATTGGGGGATAAGATAAACAAGTTCACTGGGATGATAGAAGGTTTGATTTGGTCTCCAAGAAGCAGTGATGGTAAATGCGAAGTTGATGATTGGTGTTTTGAGGAGGTAGGTGTGACATTTGAAGAAGGATATATAAAATAATACTCTTCAGTATCACTGCTTCATTGGATATACTTGGTAATTTGGGGCATGGTGTGTGGCTTTTAGTAGAAATGAGATTTCTTCTGCATCTCTGAATTTTGAATTTACTAATTGCAATCAGGGGCCTCATTCTGATTTTGCTGGACCAACTTCGGGAAGCACTGCCTGTGTTGCAGTAATTAGAAACAACCAACTTGTTGTTGCCAATGCTGGTGATTCACGGTGTGTGATATCTCGGAAGGGTCAGGTAACCTACAGAGTGGAAATTCTTGGAACATTAATTTTGCTTATTGTCCACGGACAGATACATACTTAGGTACAAATAAACATAAAATGCTGTGTCGTTTGTCTAAACACTATTCATTTTGGATTGTTTGCCTCTTAATTTGGCTGGTCAAAGTTATTTGGGGGAATTTTTTTGAAGGCATGGAGTATGGTTTGTCCCCTTTTTTGTAGACTACATAGATCTTGTAGGTAAAATTACTTAACGATGTTTTATTATGACTGTTTTTTACAGGCATACAATTTGTCTAGAGACCACAAACCTGATCTTGAGATTGAGAAGGAAAGAATATTAAAAGCTGGTGGTTTTATTCATGCTGGACGAGTTAATGGAAGTTTAAATCTTGCAAGAGCTATAGGTAATGTATCTATGGGCCAGTGAACTTTTAAAATGAAAAATTAAGATTATTTTTTTCATTCAACTTTTTTTCATTTATAACTTGAGCGGACAGCCTGGGCTGGGCTCCTGCATCTTTAGCTCGGGAATATCCATGAATTTTGTGTACTTGATGAATGAAATCACACACGAACTACTTTCTACTTGTTGTGTTCTGTATGTTTTATTTTGGTTCTTTACACGAAAAGGAAATTGGTTTTAAATGATATAATTGAAGATTTCAAATTCATGACACTAATAAAGTCTTCATTCTTTGATAAGTTTCAATTAACTGCAGGTGACATGGAATTTAAACAGAATAAATTTCTTCCTGCTGAAAAACAAATTTTAACTGCCAATCCAGACATAAACACTGTAAGTTTGTTACTGTAATACAATTTAGCTAGCTGCCTCAGTGATAAATGTGCCACCGTTTCTATTGTTCTGTATAATAGTAGGATCCATAATAAAATATGGGTAGATGATACAAATCAGTAGTGCTTATTACTTCTCTGAAGTATTGAATTTGATGTAAGCATATGTTATGACTGATACATTTATTTTATTTGATAATTTTTATAGGTTGAGCTTTGTGACGAAGATGAATTTGTGGTGTTAGCTTGTGATGGCATATGGTATTCTTCTTACGGTTTCCACATATCTATTTGATTCGAAATGTTATGATGTATTTGGAAGATGTCATTGACATTATTAAAATGTGATGAGCGCCAATGAATTTTCATTCTAGGCACAGTAGTGAGAATATTATTTATCTTGTGTGATTCTGAAAATAATGCGACCATTATTGGCACCGAGTGTCATTCTGAAAACGGTAATTTGCTTGCATTTCATTTTCCTTTTTAAAAATATTTTGTGTCTCATTACTTCCAGGGATTGCATGTCAAGTCAACAACTGGTAGATTTTATTCATGAACAATTACACTCGGTGAGTTTTCTGTTTTAACCCTTTTCTAATGAGATGATAAATATTAACTCAATTAGGAGTAGCTGTAAGTAATACTTCACCATTTATGCTTATTCATGATATTTAATGCAGTACTGAGTACTTTGACGGATAAAAACTTTGCCATTTGTGCTTGTAGTTGTTGGAGAGAATTAATAAATGGAGCCTCTGAGTAATAATGTCTCTTGAGGTGGACAAAGTCATACCGTGTTCTTTGTCCCTCAATGCACTTTTTTTACAATAGCGATTTTCTTTTACTCATCTCTAGCACTGTCATTTCTGATAAAATCAGTCAGTACATGTTTTGGCCCCGAATTTTTATGGTATGCATGATAATGGTGCGTCAATATTATGTGAAGTGATGATTATTTTATCTGTGGCAGGAAACGAAACTTTCTGCTGTGTGTGAAAGAGTACTTGACCAGTGTTTGGCACCATCAACTGCCAGTGGCGAGGGATGCGACAATATGACCATGATCGTGGTACAGTTAAAAAGACCTGCTCAGTCCAGTGCATCAACAGAGGAACAATCCTCGTCCAGTGCATCAACAGAAGAGCAATCCTCGTCAAACGCACAAGCTGAACCTGAAACACAACTAGAGAGAAGTGGAAGTTAGCATTATTTCAGCAACAGTTCAGATATTGTATCATATATATATATATAAAATATATGTAGTGTGCACCAATTGATTAAAATGCGTCCGCATGGTCATTTTGCCTTCATCTCACATTATACACAACACCTTATTCCGATTACCTAAAGAATATCAGTTTTTCTCCTTTTTCTTCTCTCTCGTGTCTATTTTTCACTCTGAAAAGCCTGTTCTGCATCTTCAACATACGGGCTCCCAAACATCAGTACTTGTAGTTATAATCAACAACCTGCAAAAAAGCTACAAATAGGGTAAAGAGAAACATAACCTAAAATGGGTGGCGTTCTTGACTTGGAAATATTTGTAACACTCTTTTTGACACATAGCTTTTCAATTGTGGTTGATTTATCTTTCAAAAAAATCAAAACGCCTAGTAATTTGATCGCCTTAAATCTGTGGAAGTTTTAGAATTAAACCAAGCACTCACTATTGGTGAGTATGCAAAAGTGTCTATTTCTGCCATTTGTTTAGGAATAGAGCTATTAAAGGTTGTGCCTGTTTTTGAAAAATCCAACTTGTGAGTGAGGGAGATAAATGGGTGCAAAGTTGGCTATTCCAGCATAGTCACTAGGCTTGATCATTCTCGAGTTACTAATACGCCTTGCAAACAGTGAATCTAATATTTGCCGTACAAAGGCACCATCCAATCGATCCGAAGTAAATGCGAACTTAATTGAAGAAAAAATGAGGATAATGAAATATCATTAAATAAATGAAATATCATTAAATAAATGAAATATCATTAATAAGATTAAAATAGTTCTTTTTGGGTACGTAAGGAAAAGTAAACAAAGGAAAAAAAGAGAAAGAAGCCTACTAAGAGGTGTACACTAGGTCATTATAAGGGAATCTAATGAAGGATTTGCAAGAAGAAAAAAATGTAATTTTTTGGGCAAAAAAATACCCCTTAACCTCTTCCAAATTGAATTTGGATAATTTTGTATCTGTTATAAGCCACAAATAAGATGAAGCCGCTGAATAAATGCCAGAAGCATGTCCATTCCAGGCAATACGATCCACCCCTTGAGAATTAATTGGAATTTTAATATTAGGCAGCAAAGAATAAAGTCCACTGAAGTCCCAATTTCCCTCCTTTTCAAATATCAGCAATATGAACAAAAGGGTCTTGGTGAGCTAATGGACCCATCCCTGTTCAGTCATCAAAGAACAATGACGAGGTACCAATTTTAATTTTTTTTTTCTTTTTAAATATTACTCAACAGAAGTTCTTCTGCTAATCAATTTCCAATTTAAAAACAGTACTTGCTAGATAAAAAGCTAAATACATAAACATATCATCAATATTGTTCAAAGTATTAAATTCCCACATGAATCACAATTTAGTGTAATTTGTAATCACTAAATCAAAATAATCTCAAGCTTATTTAAGTTAAAGTACAACAAGAATATATCTTTATATACTTACAATTCAGTTTGGTTCAATTTGATTGAGATTTGAAAATCAATTTGAACTGAATTCAGTATTCAAAATTTTAAGTTAATTTGACGGCTCCCTTTTTATTTTTTAAGAATTTAATGATTATACATTGATGTGTAAGATCTTATATAGCCATTTAATAAAAAAGTGTTCAGTATAATTTTAAAATAATAATTATAAAAGTCAATAAACCTAGCTAACGAATGATTTATGATTAAATAACTGTGAAATTGTAAAACTTATTTTCTCATTTTTTAATACCTCAACTGTCAACGTTGATAAAGCTTAAGGATCCTTGATTTGGCAACAACGGCCTCAACAAGTTCTTGCATTTTTTTATACAAATCTTGGTGCAAGGCATCCTTATGCTTGTATACATTTCATCACCATCTTGGTGTGATGTGATCACGTCTTAATTCCCTTTCTCCATTCCCACCCCGCTCCATCCTCAGCCCCAAAAGCTTCATCCATAACAGACTAGGGAAGCTCATGCCTGCAATCACTTAAATAAAATTTGTATGAGCTTAAATAATCCCAACCATATTGTTTGTGTAGGAACATGGAATATATTTATGAGCAGAAATACTCACAGTCTAATGTACAAAATTGATCCTCAAAAGTTATTGTAAGCACCAGGAGGCGACTTTTTACACAAGTTTGTCAGCATTAATCAGCAGGAATTTTCGGCATGATACAGTTTTTTTGCATCCAATCATTAACTGAAAGATTGTGGTATGCAAAATTCCATTATCCAAGCCAATTCCAAGACAAAGTGGCCCTACAAAAACTATGATAAAAAAGGTCACTAAAATAAATAAATAAATAATACATACACTGACAACGTGAAAATCTATCACATTGTGACTATAATGAAAATTATATCTAGAAAGATTTCTAATTAATTGACAATTTGACGTTCTAAAAACTTCTACATTGACAATTTATACTTATCAGACTCAAATAATAATGAATAATATATGCTAAAGATTGTTATTAAATCCCAACCCGCTAAGTATAATGTGTACTTTTAGAATAACCATCTTAAAAGTCATATCAATGATGATTTCTAATTAGTTGATCTGTAAACTTTTACAGTGATATTACATGTCAATTGAACTCCACATAAACTATCACGTAAAATCATAGTGTTTCCACAAAACCATTCTTAATAAAACATTAATTACCTTCATGTGTCCCTTATGAGATCAGGAACGTGAGAAAAGACCCCATGAGATAACTCAGTAAAATCAACATTTATCAGGCAATTGAGCAAATGTTCCTGCATTGGGGCTACACCCCACAACCATCATCTTCTTGAGGATAGAAAAGGCTCGATCTTTGTCCCCTGACATAGTATGCCCACGAATGAGAGCATTGTACGTGAAGACATTAGGTTCAAGACCCATAAGTTCCAGTTCCTCAAACATCTTTCCCGCTTGGTCCACCTTTCCAGCATTTCCAAAATGGAGAATCAATGCATTGTAAGTATAAAGATCAGGAGTGACTCCCCTATTCTTCATTTCACTAAAAAGAGAAAGAACTTCCTCCAATCTACGTGATTTTCCAAGACCATTGATCATAAGATTGTAAGAAACAGTATCAGGGTCAAGGCCACTTAACTTCAGCTCCTCAAAGTAGTGCACAGCTTCATCAACTCTGCCATTCATGCTCAGACATTCTACAAGAATGGTATAAGACTTCAAGTCTGGCCTTATCCCTTCTTTAACCATCCTTTTGAACAAATCACAAGCAATATCAACGTTACCTGCTTTCCCTAATCCGTTGATGAGAATGTTATAAATCGCACAGTTGGGCTTGCAATGATAGTCTGTCATCTCCTCAAAAATCTTCATCGCTTCCTCCAATCTTCCAGCCTTTAGGAGGCCGTCTATAAGAGGGCCATATGTACAAGGTGTGGGAGAGAATTCACCACTTACGAGATCATAGTATAAATCTAATGCCTTATTTAAGTGTTTAGATTTCACAAGGGCTGAGATGATGATATTATGGGTTATAGTATTCGGCTTGCATCCCCTATAGTGCATATTATTGTACAGTTCAAAAAGTTCATCAATCCTCTTTGATTTACCATGAGCATCAAGTAACAAGTTGTAGGTGAAAACATTTGGGCAACAACCTGCATTCTTCATCTCAACAAAAAGTTTGAAAGCTGCTTCAGTGATATTACTTCCAAGAAACCCATCTATCAAGCAGTTATATGATTCGGACGAGGGGTGAATTCCCAAAGTTTTGGTGAATTTGTCAAACAAAGCTTGAGCATCAAGAACCTTGTTCCGCTTGCATAGGACTCTAACCAAAGGTAATATCAAATTATCATCTCGGCAAATAGAATTGCAAACCAATCCTTCAGCAAATGCAATGGCCTCTTCTATTTCTGCTTCAATCAAAATACATTCCATTAATTCTCCCCAGAATTGACTGCTAGTCTGTAAACCAGGTTGATGTACAAATTCCATGACAATCTTGATTGCATCCTCAATACTTCCATACTTTACAACACCGGGAAGGAGGGTGTACAAAGTTACATGATCAGGAGAGAGAAATTTCTTCATTTGATGGTAAAACCAGAATGCATAATCAACTCTGCCTTCTTTTAGCAAGCCATAGATGATAGTGTTATAAGTCAGAACATCAGGACTACAGTTCATGATTGTCATTCTACAGAACATTTTCAAGGCCAAATCAACTGCATCATTCTTGCAAAGACAATCAAGGAGTGCGTTAAAAGTCACTGTGTTTGGAGGACATCCAGACTCATTCATACTCCCGAACAAATCAAGGGCCTTTAGGAGTTTTCCCTCTCTCCCTAAACCAGTAAGTAAAATGTTGTATGTCACAACTGTAGGAGCTAGCTTCAAATCCTTTAGTCTGCCAAACATTTCCCATGCCTCATCAACTCGGTTAGCCTTGTAAAGTGTGTCAATTAAAGAATTAACTACAATTATATCTGGTTCACACCCTTCGCTTAACATCTCAGTCAAAAGTTTTGTGGATTTGTCTATTTGCCCTGCTTTGCTGTAGCACTTCATCATCATGTTATAGGTTACTGAATCAGGTAAAAGCCCACAATTGTGAAGATCATTGAATATATCTTTTGCTTCTCTGATCCTACCTGTTTCAGCAAGACTATATAAAGATGCATTGCATGCTGCTATACTAGGCAAAATACCTCTCTTTTTCATTTCGTGAAAGGTGTCAAGAGCTTTTTCAGGATCACCCAACTTTCCATAGTAGTCAATGAAAAGAACGTATGAATAAGAAGTTGGTTCAACACCCAAAGATTCCAGATTGTTGAAAAGCTCTAATGCCTCATCTAATCTTCCGAGGTTTAGAAGTCCAGAGATCAACGTGTTGTAAGTATGAAGATTTGGAAGAACTCCTTTCACTCTCATCACATCTAACATATCAAATGCCTGATCAACTTTTCCAGACTTGCATAAAGCCTCAACAATTATAGTGTAGGAAACTACATCAGAAGCATAACCATCAGCCTCCATCTCCCTCC